ATGACATACTAAAAAAGAAGAGTACATGAAGAACTACCAGGAAGATCTCGCCAGTGGATGTGCATTTGGCGGATGATGGCGTGGTACAAGCAGTGGGAAAGGGAGACATCATCATGTCAATGAGGACAAAACACGGCGTCAAGAAATGTGTGCTTACTGGTGTGTGGCACATCCCCAAATTGACGCGCAACCTGTTCTCTGTGGGGTGTTTTACGAAGGACATTGGCCACGTCACATTTGAAAGTGACGGGTGCTTTGCTCCAGTCGAAGAGTGTGAATGGCGGCAGCTGGGTACGCGCAAGGGAAAGGGCTTATTCAAGTTATGCATGACCCCCGCTCATGTCAGATGAAGCAAATGTGTCAAGTTCAACCGGTTTCAATGGGACCAACCGGTCGTACCTCTGGCATCTTCGACTTGGCCATATTGGCCATAACGGTCCTAGACTCCATTGTCAAGAAGGGCTACGGCAACGGCATCAACATCACGTCTGTTCAACAGTGGGAGATGTGTCAAGGGTGTGCTCTTGGCAAACAAACTCGAGTGAACTTTATGCCAAAGTCCCCAGAGAGTGCAAAGAAGATGCTAGAAGTCATCCACAGCGATGTCTGTGGTCCTATGCAAACAGCTTCGCTCGGTGGAAGCAGATACTTTGTCACGTTCAATGACGAGTATTCACACTTTAGTGTGGTGTTCTTGCTTAAGAACAAGTCTGAAGTGGCTTCTAAGTTTGCCGAATTCGTCGTATTTGCAGAGACTCAGACAGGAAACCGCGTCAAGCTACTTCGCAGTGACAACGGCGGAGATTACAAGTCGCATGAGATGACCAAGCTGTGCAGCAGTCGTGGCATTGTACAAAAGTTCACGCCTCCTTACACACCTCAACTCAACGGGTGGCAGAACGGATGAACAGGACATTGGTGGAATGCGCGCGCTGCATGATGGAGCATGCCGGACTGTCGAAGGAATACTGGGGCGAAGCGGTTGTAACCGCTACATTTCTTCGAAACCGATGTCCAACACGTGCCACAAGTCAAGACAAGTCGCCACATCAAATCTGGACCGGCAAGAAACCGCTGTTTTCAAATCTGAAGGTGTTCGGTTGTCACGCATACGTGACGGTCCCGAAGCAAAAGCGCATCAAGTTTGATGCGCAGTCAGTCTATTGCCGCTTCATAGGATACTCTGAACACGAGAAAGCGTATCGCTTTGAAGAGATCAAGAGCCGTCGTGTTCTAGTGAGCCGCGACGAAAATTCATGGAAGACGTCTTCGACAGTGGGAGACGCACCGAAAGAGACGCAGAAGATGTCTTTGAAAGTCAAGAAGATGAGAGTACAGGTCATGAATGTCCTTCCGTACCAATTCAGCCTGACGAAGAAGACGCTGCGCAAGACCAAGATACGGAGCCCGGCAGTAAGCGCCACACGCGAACCCCTTCGTTGGAACAAGCTGTGGAGATTCCGGTTCCCAAGCGGCAGAGTCAAAGAAGAATTTTGCTCAAAAACATGTCGGCGGTGGCACAAGTCGAGGACGACTTTGAGACAGCCTACGTTGTGGATTCAGTGGGAGATATGCCGAAAACGTTTAAGTCGGCGATGGAATCCAACAACGCGGTCAAGTGGAAGGAAGCGTGCGACTCCGAAATCGACTCCCTCCGCAAGAACAAGACATGGCAGTTGGTGCAATTACCTAAGGGTCGGAAAACTATCGGACGCAGATGGGTGTTCCGCGTCAGAGAGAATAGCAATTCAGTCAGGTCGCCACAATACCCAGGCCTGAAGTTGACCAAGGCCATGTGCGAAGGAGGTTGCAATCATGCAGAAACGATGGCAAATTTTCCCTACCGGAACGCCTTAGGATGCCTCATTTACCTTATGGTTGGCACCCGTCCCGACCTTGCAGCTGCAGTGGGATTGCTCATCCAGTTTGCCTCCGATCCGTGTCCAACACACTGGCAAGCACTCAAGAGAGGGTTTTCGGTATGTAAATGGTACCAGGACACACGGAATTGAGTTTCAAGCAAGTGAAGACGACATCCTTCAAGTCTACTCGGATGCAGACTGGGCCGGCGACATAGATTCAAGGCGCAGTACAAGTGGATACACCTTCATCATGAACAACAGTTGCATCAGCTGGAGGAGCAAGAAGCAACGAACGGTGGCACTATCATCACGGAAGCAGAGTCCATGGCGCTATCGGAGGCTACACAATAATCAGTTTGGTTGAGGGTGTTCCTGTGCGAACTTGGTGAGATGACAAGTAACCAAGCTGTCAAGATCTCCGAGGATAACCAAGGATCAATTGCATTGGCCAGAATTTCACAAACGCACCAAGCACATCGACATTCGCTACCATTTTGTTCGTGAAAAGGTTGCTGAAGGACAAGTGGTGCTAGAATACTGCCCAACCAAGGACATGAAGGCCGATATAATGACCAAGCCGATCACCATCGTACAGTTCCAGAAACTTCGGACCATGTTGGGCATCAAGTCGCCACGACCTGCCGAGGCGAGTGGGAGTGTTGTAAAAGAGACGTCTCGGAATGATGTGACAGAAATGTGTTCTGTAGCTTAGCCGGTTTGGTATGGCAGTACCATCTCAAAGGTCACTGGTTCGATACCGGTGGGGGCGTACAAACAACAAATTAAGCCTTTGGGATCTGGTGTTTGGGGTTCACCAGCACCGTACTGCCAGACAGTGACGTCCCCCATTTTCGGTACGTTTGGGTGTTCAGAAACGCACGACCAGAATTAGAAACGTACGACTAGACGATTAGTAATGCGCGACTAGACGATCAGTAATGCGCGATGTGGCGATTACTAATGCGCGACTATACGATTAGTAATGCGCGATGTAGCGATTAGGAACGTATAGTCGAGGAATCTTGTAGGCTTAGAGTAGCAACAGATTTTGAGAACTAAGGACCTAAATAGATTCACTTTTGCATTTTACCATCTAGTGCTCGACTGCCTTAGCCTTCAGGTTATGAGTCCAAGCCCCGTTTCCTCCAACGAAGACTCCGACTACGTCTTTGCCATGGACGCTGCCGCAACGCCGACCGCCCGCACCAACAAGTTCCAAGGGACCAACTTCCACACATGGAAGTTCAAGATGCATATGGTCCTGGAAGAGCGCGACCTGTGGGAGGTCACATGTGGAGAAGTCAAGCTGGAGCACTGCACCAACGTGATGGATCAATCGACGTTCAAGAGGAAGTCGCGCAAAGCGCTCGCAATCATCTGTCTCACAATAGAAGACTCGCAGCTACCATTGGTCCGGTCAGCTAGTGGCGCGCATGATGCATGGTCAAGACTGGAAGGACACTTCGAGAAGAAGAGCCTGGCAAACAAGCTCTTTCTTCGTCGTCGTTTCTTCACAACGATGATGGAAGAAGGTGATGATGTGCTGGAGCACATCAACAAGATCAAGACTCTAGCGGAGCAGCTCGACGCTGTGGGTGCTCCGGTTAGCGAGGACGACTTCGTGATCACGCTTCTTGGGAGTCTAAGCGATTCGTACCAGTTTCTGATCACGGCGTTAGAGTCACGTGCGGACACGCTAACGTGGGAGCTGGTGACGTCTCGACTACTGCACGAAGACATGAAGCGCAAGGAACAAGGTGGCGGTGTCGACGGATCCGCGCACGGTCAAGGTCAAGCGTTCATGACAAGCAATCACAGCAAGCGAAAAAGAGGACGGCCTGTGCAGAAGGCCAGTGCATGTCACTACTGTGGGGAGCACGGACATTGGATTGCCAAGTGTCCGGTGCGTATCCGTGGGAATACGGAGCGGCAAAGGCCGCAGCGAGCAAACATCGCGCAGGTCGAAGATGACACTGGCGAGTTTCTGTTTTTAGTTGATGGAGATAACATCAAGCTGAGTGAAGAGTGGCTGGTCGACTCAGGTGCAACTCAGCACATGACATACTCAAAAGAGTACATGAAGAACTACCAGAAGATCTCGCCAGTGGATGTGCATTTGGCGGATGATGGCGTGGTACAAGCAGTGGGAAAGGGAGACATCATCATGTCAATGAGGACAAAACACGGCGTCAAGAAATGTGTGCTTACTGGTGTGTGGCACATCCCCAAATTGACGCGCAACCTGTTCTCTGTGGGGTGTTTTACGAAGGACATTGGCCACGTCACATTTGAAAGTGACGGGTGCTTTGCTCAGTCGAAGAGTGTGAAGTGGCAGCTGGGTACGCGCAAGGGAAAGGGCTTATTCAAGTTATGCATGACCCCGCTCATGTCAGATGAAGCAAATGTGTCAAGTTCAACCGGTTTCAATGGGACCAACCGGTCGTACCTCTGGCATCTTCGACTTGGCCATATTGGCCATAACGGTCTAGACTCCATTGTCAAGAAGGGCTACGGCAACGGCATCAACATCACGTCTGTTCAACAGTGGGAGATGTGTCAAGGGTGTGCTCTTGGCAAACAAACTCGAGTGAACTTTATGCCAAAGTCCCCAGAGAGTGCAAAGAAGATGCTAGAAGTCATCCACAGCGATGTCTGTGGTCCTATGCAAACAGCTTCGCTCGGTGGAAGCAGATACTTTGTCACGTTCAATGACGAGTATTCACACTTTAGTGTGGTGTTCTTGCTTAAGAACAAGTCTGAAGTGGCTTCTAAGTTTGCCGAATTCGTCGTATTTGCAGAGACTCAGACAGGAAACCGCGTCAAGCTACTTCGCAGTGACAACGGCGGAGATTACAAGTCGCATGAGATGACCAAGCTGTGCAGCAGTCGTGGCATTGTACAAAAGTTCACGCCTCCTTACACACCTCAACTCAACGGGTGGCAGAACGGATGAACAGGACATTGGTGGAATGCGCGCGCTGCATGATGGAGCATGCCGGACTGTCGAAGGAATACTGGGGCGAAGCGGTTGTAACCGCTACATTTCTTCGAAACCGATGTCCAACACGTGCCACAAGTCAAGACAAGTCGCCACATCAAATCTGGACCGGCAAGAAACCGCTGTTTTCAAATCTGAAGGTGTTCGGTTGTCACGCATACGTGACGGTCCCGAAGCAAAAGCGCATCAAGTTTGATGCGCAGTCAGTCTATTGCCGCTTCATAGGATACTCTGAACACGAGAAAGCGTATCGCTTTGAAGAGATCAAGAGCCGTCGTGTTCTAGTGAGTCGCGACGCAAGTTCATGGAAGACGTCTTCGACAGTGGGAGACGCACCAAAAGAGACGCAGAAGATGTCTTTGAAAGTCAAGAAGATGAGAGTACAGGTCATGAATGTCCTTCCGTACCAATTCAGCCTGACGAAGAAGACGCTGCGCAAGACCAAGATACGGAGCCCGGCAGTAAGCGCCACACGCGAACCCCTTCGTTGGAACAAGCTGTGGAGATTCCGGTTCCCAAGCGGCAGAGTCAAAGAATTTTGCTCAAAAACATGTCGGCGGTGGCACAAGTCGAGGACGACTTTGAGACAGCCTACGTTGTGGATTCAGTGGGAGATATGCCGAAAACGTTTAAGTCGGCGATGGAATCCAACAACGCGGTCAAGTGGAAGGAAGCGTGCGACTCCGAAATCGACTCCCTCCGCAAGAACAAGACATGGCAGTTGGTGCAATTACCTAAGGGTCGGAAAACTATCGGATGCAGATGGGTGTTCCGCGTCAGAGAGAATAGCAATTCAGTCAGGTCGCCACAATACCCAGGCCTGAAGTTGACCAAGGCCATGTGCGAAGGAGGTTGCAAGCATGAAGAAGCGATGGCAAATTTTCCCTACCAGAACGCCTTAGGATGCCTCATTTACCTTATGGTTGGCACCCGTCCCGACCTTGCAGCTGCAGTGGGATTGCTCATCCAGTTTGCCTCCGATCCGTGTCCAACACACTGGCAAGCACTCAAGAGGGGTTTTCGGTATGTAAATGGTACCAGGACACA